CATTCTATTTGAGGGAAAGAACACATACATAGAAAATTAAATGCAAAAAGGGCACCAAAAACTAGGGGACATCAAGACAAACTTCCAGTAGGAGTTGGCACTTGAGCTCACCTTTGAAGGAAGCTAGAGAGATGAGAAGGGAATACATTCCAGGGATGGAAGACAGCAACAGCTCATGAGAAATGGATAAAGAACAAAAAGCAAGTCAGGCTGGGTGGAAGGGAGAGAATGTCTGAAGCTCGATCCCGAAGGGCTTAAAAAAAAAAGCCAGAGCAGTGTGCATGTCATCATAGCGGACTAAAGAGAAGCACTAGACTTTGTTGACCAAGTGAGTGACATAAGCAGACTTGTACTTGAGGAACACCACTTTGGCAGCTGCACAGGCAATGGATTAGAGAAGGGAGAAAAAAAAACCCCCACCAAAACTTATGGCACACAGACAAATGAGGAAGCTATTTTCAATAACCCGAGAGATTATGAGGGCCTGAGTTAAGGGTGGCAGCCGTGAGTGGAGAGAAAAGGATGAATGAGAGATGTGTTGTAGAAGTAGAACTAATAAGATTTAGCAACTGACTGAATACACGGGCAGATGGAGTAAGAACTACTTAGGATATTGCTTTGAGGTTGGGAACCTGAGTGAGCAGAAAAGTGGGGATGCCCTCAATAAAAATAAGTAATCTAGGAAAAGGAGAGTTTTTGTGGGGAAAAAACGATGAGTTTTGTTTCAGACATAATTATTTGAGATGTCTACTAGATATCGAGTTAGAAGTGCTTAATAAGCAGCTGGAGATGATGGACTGGACCTCAGGGGAGAGACCAGGTCTGGGAGTCACCTGCCTAGAGATGGTAATTGAACAACACTGTTCAATGTCAGGCAATAAATGCTATAGGCAGTAATTATACACTTGCCATTTAGTTTTCGTTTTAAGAATTCTTATTCCTTTCCAGAGATGACTATGTGAAGTTTTAAGAAATTACAAGTTTAAGCAAAATAAAGACTATTTTTGAGTCAGAAAACTGAATTCCACCCCATGTCCTAAAGGAATACGTAGATATGCATCGTACTCCAAGTATTCCTTAGAACTAGAATTCTTAGAAATTCCGCATCAGTATTCTGGATAAGTCACATTCTTTCAAGGTAAAACTGCCTTACTCCAATTGCTTTGTCTCAATCTTTAATTATAGTGAAGAATTTTGTGTTATCTCTGAATGGACAGACATGAAAACAGAAGGAAAAGAAACAGGAAATTTTAATTGTTAAGGACTAATTATATAGGACTCCTATTTACTTCCAAAGCCCATTTACTGAAAACTACTGAATATGTAGATATAGTTTATAAAACATGGCTATAACTGCCACGCTTAACATCTCTTTTATTTAATTTGTTGATATACTAATAACTTTTGTTATCCTAATTCCTATGTCCTTCCCCACTCCATCTTCCCCATAGCAAATATTTATTCAAATTAAATGAAATCCTGAAGTAAAAAAAGGAAGAATATCGGAAATAATGCCTGAATATAAGAAACCTAAGAGAGAGTGGGTTAAAAATAATACAGAAGTAAAGTACAAAAGAGAATTCTAATTTATATGGTGGAAAAGAAAAAAATAGGGAAACCTACAACAGAAAGAGGAGAAAATGTAAAAGAAACATCAGGAAAAAGATGAAAATCAGTGAGCGGAAAGAGATACATACACATTATGAGTATACACACATACATACACATGTACATACAGATCTAGCTATTTATCTGAAAAGAGGGAAATGGGCAAATGAAAAGGATAATATAAGAAACCAAAACCAAAGTTAAGTGGCAGCATAAAATAATCTTTAATTCCTTGTCTAACAGCTGAACCTCACTTTAGGGAACTCCATTCTACGGTTTTAGTCCTCTACGCTTTTGCATAGCAAAATAATAAATTTCTCCTTTCGCATTTTACTTAGAGAACTTGATAAGTACAAATGCCACGATCAGTTAGAGCTCATATCCATCATTTGCCATCCTCGGGTTTATTTATTTTTTAAAGTTTATATTCTTTCTAATATAATTACTTGCCTAACATCCATATTCACATCATTCTTCCATTTATGTATTCTTACAAAAAAATAAAACGCATACACACACAAAGGACAGTTCTCCCTTGGTTGTCCCTTTTTAGGATTTTTTTTTTCTATTTGTATATAACAGTTATTAGTTCCTTGTGACACACAAATTAGTAATAGCAGAACCCTCCTGTGGGAGAGAAAATGTGACTCTCAATAAAGAAAATCACAAGGTGGTGAGTTTGATCTCAATCTTCAGGGGAGGCTGAAGATAATGGGCAAACGGCTTGAGAGGGAAAGTAAAGTAAGAAAGGAAAGTGATTAAACAAATGGATGTAGACCAGATACAAAATGATATCTATCAAAAGCAAACAGAATTAATTTCTTACTTTAGTAGAAATGAACAAAAGCAGTAATGCTACATTTTTAAACGCTAGAAAGATTATTTTTGTTTTTAAAATAAGTTGGCTTTAATTGTGAGGAGAAATATCTATTTAGAGATCATTTATGAAACTAAACATGGAGTCTTCATAAGAGGTTCTAAACCTACATCAAAGGCAATGCAATGGGATACAGATTACTCTCTTTACTATGCAAGACTGTATTTCAGAAGAGATCTTCAAATCAGAATGTAACATACTGAATGGACCACTGACTAAAACCGGAGGACATGGATTCAAAGCCCATTTCTAATACTATGATCTGACAAGTCATTTAAACGCCCTCATTAGCCCTCAGTTTCCACATCTGTAGAGTAAGGAGGCCGGACTAGATGGCTTCTGGGGTCCCTTCCAGTCCTACATCTAGGATCCTATAAGCTACCTGAAATACCAGGAAGTCCTTTGATGTTTTCACGAAAATTAACAACAACAAAAATTTCTTCAATTTCACCTTGCCCTGGAAAGGCATCAATTAGCTACACAGTCTTTGTCCCATTCTCTAGTGACCAAACTGCCAAGACAAAATGCTATACAAATGCTTGGGGATTACTCATGAAGAAAGGCTCAATGCCACATATTTTATTACAACTATTATCATCTACTGTGCATGGCTAACCCTCAAAGGTACTTGGGCCCCTTCCTCCACAAGGAGGCTTTACATGTCACTCTTCACTCCTCAGGATGGATGCTGTCAGAGTTCTCTTATTAAAAATGCTGGCCGTATTTCACTCCATTAAGAGATGAATTTTTTTTTTACCCATAAGGTCCAACATAATCCAAACTTTAGGATGAGGAAAACAAACAAACACAAAAAAACCCAACATAAAACCCTTTATATCCACTGGAAGGAAAAAAAAATCTGAACTCAGGTCATTCTCATCCTTACAAGTCTCCAAAGAGACTACAATAAGAAAGTGTGTTATAGATTTGCTTAATTCTATTTCAGAACAAATCTACATCTGGTATTAAAAAAAATGCATTCCTTTCATTTACATCTTATTTTATGGATTTGGGAAGATTTTATCTTGTTATATGAAATATCTTGGACATTTTTGGGGGGGGGAGTGGGGTTCAGATGAATATTCTCAGATCATATAGAAAAACACAAACCAATTGTAAACCATCATTCTGTTTGCTTCATATCTTCTATTTTGAACACTCATCTATCACATTTAAAAAAAATCTAACCATGAAAAGTTTTTTATAGAAACAACTATCTTGGCATACAAAAAATGGAGACACAAAATTAACTCTTGGATAAAGCCTTCTTTGTGTGTGTGGCTTTTCCCTCTATTACTGGTTAAAGAAAAGAACTTGTCTGAAACATCAAAGAATAACCTAACTCCACTCTGCCCAGAAAAAACAAGGGTACCACATTTCACACCTTGTATTGCTGCTACAAAGTACTAGATTTTTAAAGCCAGTGATCCCAATGCATTTGAAAACTGCCAGGTTGAAGCTTAAGTACCTTGGAATTTTCAGTATCACATCCAGAACAATGTGCTTTGTGGACATTCAAGAGCAGCACAATGCCCATACTAAGGCAAGACATCACAGAAGTTGGCAGCCATGTTATCAGCAAGAATTTGGCTACAGAATCAGCAATGATTCATCATACATTCTAGAAGGAGCAAAACAACATACCGTACTATTTTAATCCCTTGATTCTATCATGGATCAAAAACAGGAAAAATAAGAAAACGCAAAATATGTGCATATGAATTTCCAATACATGGGTTAACATTTTCAACTTTGTGTAAGTACCATGCAAGTTTTAAGATTTTGTTTCTTTAAAAAAAAGTCAAAACCCAATACATTACTTATCTTCTATTACATACAATTTAACACACGATGAATTGTCTTAAAACTTACTGGGCGGTTCCCCTGAAAAATAGGGAGCCCAAATGTCTGCACATCAAAGGATTCTAATTTCTCCCTTAAGGCAACCATATTTTCACTTACTAGAGAGTAAAAAACATTCCCTCCAGTGCTCCCAAAGTTTACAAAATTATTTAGCTTTTTCCTGAACTCAACCTTAGAAGAATTACTGAAAATACACATTAGTAGTGTGCGCTTTAACAGTGCCAACAACGCCTTCACAGTCCTCATATGCACACTCTAGGTGTATCTATCACAACATACTACTTTTGGAAGCATTTTTTTTCTTCAAAATTTATTTTAACATTATAAAATCCAACATAGTTACGTGCAAAATAACTGCGGAAAACAAGTTATGTGCTACTGCAGAGCCTCATTAAGATGGCTACATTCCTCAGTCCCCTCCCCCCAAAGATATTCAGAACTTTCTATTAAAAAACAGGAAATTAATGATTATCAGGACTCACAGTCAATAAGTCCCAGAGAAGTAGCCTCACAAATTAAAAGTACTCTGCATTTTATTTTAAGTTTAGTTGAGTCAAGTGCTTCTTCCCTGCAGTGCCCATCATAGGGGGGAAGTTGAGGACAGTTCTGATTACTAATTTATTCCATGGCAGTCATGATACAAGACCCCTACCTTTTCAAAAACTTCTTCAGTCTCCCTCCTTCTTCTTTTCCTGGCTCTCAGATTTACCCGGATCCATTTTGTGACCTGAGGTTCAAAAATCATAGTGCTTTTTTAAAAAAGAGGAATGCAGGACCTGAGGGCCACCGCTCAGCATGAGTAAGGAAGTATAAACAGACTTTAAGCCCCATTTTTCCATTGCTTCACCGGTGAAGGACACGCACTGTTCAAGCCTGGAGAGGCACGCTTTTAGCAGAACAGTCACTTGACTTGTGTCCCTTTCCTCTCCCACCTCCTCCCAATATTGAAATTGTCTTTTCTGCCTCCAAAGAATGGAAACTCTGAGTTCAGCGTTAAGTTATAAGACAAGCGTCAATATACTTGGCCAAAGTATGGGGGGGGGGAGAGAAGAGACTCAAGGCTCTTTGACTTCTGACCCAAGGCTCAGATTTATTAATCTGCTCACTGGCTCTTGCGCAATTAAGTCCCCCTCCCCCAAGAAAAGCAGCATCTTAATCACTGCCGATCTTCATTACGCTAACCCTGGAACATTGTCAGAAGCAGCCTGCGGGGGGGGGGGTATCCATTTCAGGATGCCACCCCCGCCGCACCAGAAATGCGGGATGGGATACGAGAAGGCGCAGGGGAGGAGGGCGAGAGGATGCCCGTGGGAAGCCGGCTTGACGCCGCGCACGAAGGCAGTTTTTCCTCTCACCTCATCATTTACTTGCTGAACAAGCCGACTCTCCGCCCAAGTCTGAGTTTCTCCTTGCAATGGCTAAGGGGAAGAAGAAAAAAAAAAAGTAAAACAAAGTGCAAGTTTATTGAGGTTGCAGTAGCCACGCGGAGCAGGAGCAGGGGGATCCCCACGTCTAACACTCTCCAGCCCCTCACCCTTTTTTTCCAAAGCCCCATCGTCTGCCTGTTTCTCGGGCTCTCTCTCCTTCCACTCTGCATACCCTCCCCCGGCCTATCTAAGGAGCCTGCAGCGCTCGGGGCTTACTGGCGTTTCCCCCGCTTCCCCTACCGCGCCCCGAAGCTCCCTGGGCACCGCGCGCGCCTGGCCCTTTACCTCGCCGCTGCCCCGGCGCAGCCCGTACCCCGCGCGCAGTCCATGGCGCACGCGGTTCGGGTTGTAGTGGGTTGGATATTTTCTTTCTTTTTTGGGGGGGGGGTGGTGGTGGTGGATGGAGGCGGGGAGAAGGGCTTGGCATCGGCTCTCCTGGGCTCAGCCCCCTCCCCTCGGGTCTACAGTCTCGGAGGCGGGGACGGAGCGGCGCCGGCCGTACCCCCATCTCGGCCGGCGCTGAGCAGTAGCGGGGGCTCCTTCGGAAATGAAACACCTAAAGGGGCTGGGGCGGGGGCGAGGACGGAGGGGGGGCCCGGTGTTCGAAGATGGGGAGGAGGCAAGGGAGGAGCCTGCCTTAAAGGTATAGAGGCTGCCTTGGTGGGGTGTCCCCACCCCTGTCTCTTTTCTTTCTTTCTTTTTCCCAGCCCCTCCCACCACCTCGGAGCACAGGAGTCCAGCTTATGGACTGAGGTTCTCCCTGGGTCTCTAACCTTTCTACAGTCTCCCCACCGCACCACAACGCTAGACCTTTCACTACCAGGCAGAGGAAAATTTACTGTTTGTCCCACGTACTGGGTTTTACAGACGTGGCCCCAAACACCTAGATGTCTGTCTATCCTTGGGTCGAAAACTAGTTTACAAACTTCGGTCATGGAGATTAAGGGGCTTTCTAATGGAGTTTTCTCCAGGAATGAACTCGAACACGTTGAATATTTAAGACTTTCCAGTAGCCCCCTGACCTTTAAGGAATCTAGAGTAATGGCAGGTGAGTTCCCAGGGGGAACGATGAAGTGCATTTTAAAGGCTGAGAAGCCAGTTTGCCTTCTGCTTACCACCTGGGTCGCTTACATTACTTACTGCATCTCAGAAACCGCCCTTAATGAACTCCAGACATTTGTTAAATGCAGGTTGAACAGGATAGGCCCTGTTTGACTTGAGCACTAAAGTGATCCAACTTTCTAGGTGCTGCTGCAAATTTGGACACAGTCTACATTAAAAAACAACAACATCAACAGGGACCCTCAAGGTAACTGTAGCTGTTAAAAGAGATAGTCAAAATATATTTTTTTCATATTGAGGGAAAAAAAAAGTTGGCACTGGGTATATTAAACTTTTCCATATGCTAGTTGTTTTCCTACCATGAAACAGTTTTGTTTCATTACTTGAGTTTTGTTATATTAGTGCTAGAGTTCTGTATACGTGACACATAATGGTGACATCACTATAAGTCACATGTACTTAAGAAGTCACATGGAGGGGCAGGGAAGAGGTAGGTCAAATTTGCCCCTGCTAATCTTGACAGTATTCCTTTAACTTTATCACATTTCTCTAAAGAAAATCTCTTAACCCTCCCCCCCCTTTTTTTTTATTACTACAACATCTTTCTTTCAAGATCAAAAGCCTTAGATCAAAGCCAAGATCAAACTCCCTCCTTTAAATAGAAGCAACATTGCCATGAAGTAGTTTACACAAAGAACTTCTTAATGGAGACATCACAGTAGAAAATCTTATTTCATCCCTTTAGTTCATATTCACAACTGGACTACTTAAAAGTACATTCATGATGCAGCTGTATCATGAAAATATACAACATGCCTGCCCAGAGGGGTAGCATTTTACTTAGTATTTCTGTTTCCAGGAAGAAAAAAAACATCCTAAATGCTTCTTGAATGATATAAAGTAGTTTTTAAACCACCTCACATGACTTTAATTGTACAGTGCTAGGAATATTATTATTTCAATTCTATTGCTAGTAATATGGGAAAGGAACAAGCATATATTAAGTGTCTACTCTATACCAGGCATTGTGCTAAGAGCTTTTAAAAATATGATCTCATTTCATCCTCACAACAACCCTATAAGGTTATTGCCATCCCCATTTTAACACTGAGGAAACCCAGGCAAGGTTTAAGTGACCTACCCAGAGACGCATAACTAGTGTGTGACACTCCTCTGAGACTGGGATTTGAACTCAGGTTGTCCTGACTCCAGGCCTGGTTTAGCCCAGGGCACTAATAGTTTAAAAAGATATCAGCTTTATTAACAGTTAACTCAGAGTCATAGATTTAGAGCTGGAAATAACCTTAGGAAAGTGAAACCCAGAAAAATTAAGTGACTTGTCCAGTGTATTACTGGCTGCTTGCTATCCAATCTGGTCCTAGTCCTCTGACCACAAAACTAGCATTCATTAGACCATGATTGATTAAGTGCTTAGTGTGATCTAACCATGGTATTTGGCGATACTAAAAAAAAAAAGGCAAAAATTCAGTTTCTGCCCTCAAAGAACTGCCATGCTGAACCATATAGATTATTTTGTCCAGTAGGAGAAAAGAGTTAAAAATAATTAATTTGCAAAAATACAAGTACTCCCAATACGTACACTTGGGCCAGTAAAACATTACAAACAATGAGGAACATCTTTGTATAACTGGAAAGCTACTTAATTTTAAATGGAGAGAGAACTCTTAAGCACTTAGGCTTCTAAGACTACTTATGACAGGTCAGGATCAATAGAAATCTATTACTGGCAGACATTTACCCACTACAGTTTATTCTCTGACTTAAGCTAGACCTAGGAATTCCAATGTTGAATGATTTAATATTGATATACTAAGATGCTTCCATACAAACACAACCATTTTCCACTTAAATGTCCCGTGCTTTTGATCCATCAACATTTTTTAAGCAGAAAGAATAAGAGAGAAAAGCATATAACAGGAGCCAAAGTAATTACTGAAAATTAATCTTAAAACTGGTTCTAAAAATAATGGAGGATGTAGCCAGTTACATCTTGTTGGGCTTTTCCTTGTCAGGTATTTGTTCCAAATCTAGTTTCGTTCTCAAAATGTTAACACTCAGGTTCATATAAACAAGGCTAGCTTCAGTATTTATCAAAGAGTAACAGTGAAGTTATTAGAACTGGAATTTGAGAACTGGGCTCTTTTACCTTATCCTCTATTGTTACTTTGTTCACCCTTTCTCAATGATATCCAAAATGTTTTGATTGTACAGCCCTATCAGTAAAAGTTTTTGAGCACTCATTTCCCCAATATTTGCCTATTATTTCTAAATAATACATATGCTTTTGTCCTTATATATTATACACATTAGAAAATAAGCAAAATGAAAAATTCAGGATGAACCTAAGATAAAATAAACAATAATTTAAAATTATTATTACTATAAAAACTCTTTGCTATTGCTTAAATATTAATAATCAACAAGGATCATTTTATGAACAAATAACAATGATAGTTGGCATTGTTCATATTTAAGTGAGAGAGATAATTGAATATGCTTCATTATTTTTGAAAAATCATAGCGAATGTCCTGAGGGTCAGAAAAGACAAATAATTGCTAGTAATTAAAATGGGGATAACAGCCCCTACCTTAGAGATCTGTTGTACCAAATGAGAAAATGTGCATAAAGTGCTTTGTAAAACTTAAAGTACTATACAAATTTAATTTTATTAATTTAATTTATTTTTCTTTACATTTTAAGTTTCAAGCTGTCTCCCTCCCTCTCCACCAGACATTAGAGAAGGCCATCATTTGACACAGATATAGATATAGATATAGATATAGATCTATCTATGTAAAACTATACCATACATACTTCTATTTATCAATTCTTTCTCTGGAGGTAGATAGCATCTTCCTTCATACGTCTTTTGATTTGTAAGTCCAGTTAATTTGAATTTTCATAATATTCAGAATAGCTTAGTCATTTGCAGTTATTCTTCAAACAACATTACTGTTGCCATATCCAACATTCTCTTGGTTCTGCTCATTTTGCTTCATTATTTCATGCCCGTATTTCCAAGTTTTTCTAAAATCAAACTGCTCATTATTTCTTATAGCACAGTAGTATTCCATCATAATCATATACTACAATTTGTTTAACCATTCCCCAGTAAATGAACAATTCCTCAATTTCCAGTTCTTTGACACCATAAAGAGAGCCTCTCTAAATATTTTAGAACATAAAATTTCTTTTCCTTTTTCCTTAATCACCTTGGGAAACAGTCCTAACAGTAGTATTGCTAGGGCAAAGGGTATACAATTTTATAATTCTTGGGGCATAATTCCAGATTGCTCTCCAAAATGGTTGGATCAGTTCACAGTTCCACCAATAGTATATTAGTGTCCCAATTTTTCTACATCCCCTCCAGCATTTGTCATTTTAGTCAATCTGATAGGTGTGAGATATCTCAAAAAGATATCTCCTGTTTTAATTTGCATTTCTCTAATAAATAATGATTTAGAGAATTTTTACATCACTAGATATAACTTAGATTTCTTCATCCAGAAGCTGCCTGTTCATATCCTTTGACCATTTATCAATTGGGGAACGATTCATATTCTTATAAATTTGACAAAGTTCTTTACATATGTGAGACATCAGGGCTTTATCTGTGGAAGTGTCTATAAAATTTTCCCCCCAGTTTTCTGGTTTCCTTCTAATCTTGGCTACACTGATTTTATTTGGACAAAACCTTTCTAATTTAATGTAATTAAAACAAATTTTAGCTATTACATGATGATCTAACTACACAGGCAAATTTATTTTTTTATTGAAAGATGCACAATACCAAATTTTTTTGAGCTATATAATAGTTTTTATTGAAAGATCTACAACAATCAAATAATAGGTTATAAGTCAGTGACCATAACAGCTTTTCAGCAGCAGTCATGTTTCTCTCTATGTA